CACACCCCAGCGGAGCCGAGTCCTCAAGGGACGCGCCACACCACCTCTCCGCAGACCCCGAGTCCCCGCCCCCATGGCTTCGCCGGGACCCCGCGCCTTACGGGCTGCGCTGTGTGGCAGCTGCTGCTGCTTCCTCCTGTGTGCCCAGCTCGCTGTAGCTGGTAACGCGGGCCAGGGTCTGGTTAGGGGCCCGGGCAGGGGCAGGTGGAGAGTGCCCTTCAACCAGCCGCCTACGCAGGAGCAGTTAGGGCTTGGGGGGACGGGGTGGGGACTTTCCAGAGCTGTGCAGGGTTCCAGGGGTAGGTGAAGGAGCTTATGTACATAGGCTCCAGGTGTAGGAGATTAGGGAGCTTCAGGTGTGTAGGGGGAAGCAGCCTCAAATGTATCTGGGAACCCCAGGTGTATGCAAAGGGAGGGGACTCTGGGTGAATGTCAGGGAGGTTCTCTGTGTTTGTGGAACCTCCAGGCGTGTAGTGGGGATTAGGGGATCCAGTGAGTGTATGTGTGCAAAGGGATGAGAGCCACAGTAGCAGGGAAGGGGGGCAGCAGCTTGGGTTCAAGGAGTTGCTCCTACCTCACTCCCAGGTAAAGGAGCTCGAGGCTTTGGGCGGGGAGCTCTGCTCCGCATGAACATCTGGCCAGCTGTCGAAGGGGCTTGCAAACAACTGAAGCTCTGTGAGCACTGTGTGGAGGGGGACAGAGCACACAACCTCTCTGGCTGTGTGTGGGAGCAATGTCAGCCAGAGCAGCCAGGTACGGAGTTTGGCCATTCCCAAGTCGAGTGCCCCACGTCCAAACCCCAGAGCCTTGGCCCCCTTTCCCCAAACCTCTCTCCTGCACCTTCTCCCACCAGGACACTGTGTGGCCCAAGCTGAGGAGGTCAAGGAAGGTTGCTCTGTCTACAACCACTCAGAGTCATGTCCAGGTAAGAGGACTCCCACTGGCCTAAACCAAGTTGGGGGGGAGGGGGCTGAGGCATCCCCAGCCAGCGCCTTCTCTCCAGGAAGGAATCTGTGTCTCTCAGGGAGCAGACCATGCCCATGAATACTGGGTCCAGTTTCAGTTCTGCCTTTAGCTCACTGAAAACTCCCTTCCCCTCTCTGGCCTGTTTCCTCATCTGTAAATTAGTGCAGCTGGAGGATCCAGGACAGGCATGTGGAGGGACTGGGGAATTAGCTCTTCTAATTTAAAGCATAGTGAGGACTTTGGAAGTTCAGAAGAAAATGGTCGGGGGGAGGGGGGCGGGTAGCTTTCTGGAGGAGGTGGCATCAGAGATGACCCTTAAAGACAGAGATGGAGAGAGGGCACATCTGGTGGAAGGAACTGTGAGCTAAGGCTTGAGCGTATGTAGGGTGGATCTGAACCTGGGACAGAGGACCTGACTGGAGTCAGAAGTTCAGATGTTGGCCTGGGGTCTTGATGGGAGTCAGGGGGTAGGAGGACTGGTTTGTTATTGATTCCTTGTCTCTTTAGCTGCCCACCACCATCCCACCTATGAACCGAAGACAATCACAACCGGTAGGTACTGCCTGGGGGAATGAGGTGGTGGGAGGACTAGAAGGACAGAGAAAGACAAAACTGAGCTCAGGCACTGACATGTTCTATGACCTCAGCCCTGTGACTTCTCCCTCTGAGCCTGTTTCCACATCTGTAAAATGGGTTGGGTACCTCCTCACAGAATTGCTGTGAGGATTTTACAAGAGGATGTATAGCTCCTGGGTCAGTGTCTGATGCAAGGAAGGTGATCAAGAAATGATGGTTTTTATTCCTTCTCCCCAACACTCCTGAGGACTCAGGGTGACCTGACCCCTCAGGAACTACGCTTAGTGCTGAGGGTGTACAGCTCAAGTTGCCAATGAGATGTCCTCAGTGACCACCCACTGCAACCTCCAGGCTCAGAGAGGGTCACAAAGAGGTTCCTGACAGAACAGAGGCAAAAGCCTCACCCCTTGGTCTCCACTGCCCCTCAGGGCCTGGAGGTCAGTAGGCTTGGCAGGGATGGCTGAAGAGGCTCTTGGTTAATTAAAGCCAGAAACGTGATCTAGGAGGCTGAATTATTGATGGCTCAGCTCTCTCCAGCTTGAGCCCCAGATCTGTCTTGTGTAGCTCATTTCTTCCCTTTTTTGTGCCTCTTCCCCCAGTGTCCTTCTCTGGGGCTCCCTGAACTGCAGCTGGGACCACCCTTTCCCCTTCATATTCTCAGTCCCCCTTACATAAGCTACACCCTCTGGGAGGTAGACCCAGCTCCCAGCCGTGCCCCTGTCCGCTGCCCCCAAATGATCTCCCACCACCAGCCCTTCCCTGGGCACCGGGCCCAGGGCCTGAAATTGAATCCCTGGTGAGAGTTGATGGCTAACGTGGCACAGCTGGGAGCCACCCAAGCCACCTGGGCCCCTACGGTGGGGAAGGGGTCAGGGGACACTGTGACATGCAGTGACCCCAGGGTCTCAGAGCTAAGGAATCCTGAAAGGGGACCACATCAACTGTATCTGGGCTTTGAACCCCAAGACCCAAGGCTGAACGGGAGTTGGAGGGATCTGATGCCCAAGGTCGGGGTTCATCCTCATCCCATTGGGGCAGTGTGGGAGGAAGAGGCTGGAGAGGAGCTCCGTTGCCACTTGGTCCATGTGATCAGGAGGCACAGAGAGGATGTGAGAAGCATCAAAACACGAAGCAGTTCAGGAGCAGAGCCAGGGCTGGAGCCAAGGTTCTGCCCTCCCCAGCCACGCACTGTCCCTCCCACCAGGCACCTCCCAACTGCCCACAGGATCCATCTGAACTTTTGAGCCTGCTATTGCAGGCTCCCATAGTGAGGACTGGGGCCTCTGGGTGACCTGTGCCGGTTACTGGGGTAGGCCTGGGCTCCTGGTCCTCGGTGGCCTGCTATGACCTCCACCCTGCAGGGATCCCCTCTGTGCCTGGAGCCCACAACCCTGGCTTTGATGGGGCCAGCTTCATTGGCGGCGTTGTGCTGGTGCTAAGCCTACAGGCAGTGGCCTTCTTCATCTTGCGCTTCCTCAAGGCCAAGGACAGCACCTACCAGACACTGTGAGTATCTGGCCAGCCAGCAGCATCCAGGCTCACCTCCCCCACCCCACTCCTGCCCCTTGGGTCTCCTTAAGTGCCAGTGTACTATCTTAGTGGGGTAGCCCTAAGGGCAATGACTCCTTCCCAATGTCCCGCATGTGAGCCATACCCCTTCTCCCTCCTCCTCTCTCTGCTGGGTATTCGCTGGGGCCTGGTGTCTGAGAGCTCAGCTGACCCACCTGTCTTTGTCCCCTCATGCTGCCAGCAGGGAGGAGAACCAGTAGGTGATGGCCAGGCCAGACTTTGGCCTGCAGCTCTGGCCGCGGGCAGGACCTTGGCCATGTGTGTGGTTTGGTTTTCCTCTGAGAAGGGGAGCTGCTCAGAGGCCCCTGTGTGCCGTGTGTGCTGTGGGGCGGGTCACTGCAGCCTCCATTAAAATGTTTGCTCTTCCAGCCGCTGCCTGCTCTCTGGGGGTAGGGGTCCTCAGCCTGGCTGAGGCAGGGCCACTGCCCTGAGTGCCCTCTGTCTGGTCTCTGCAGAATCTGACCCCCTTCAGGCCTGGATTCCACACTGAGGGAAGGAGGATGAAGAGGCTTCTCTCTTGCCCCTCTTGTGAGCACTGGGGGTGGGAAAAACTTTGGCCACCAATTTCTGTCCCCTACAAGCACCGAGCAGTCTCAGGGCTCAGTACTGACATCCCCTCCTGTCCTGGGCCTGGTACCTGCAGCTGACAGCATCCTTCAACTACCTCCTGCCTCATCTGTCATCCCTGTCAGCCTCCTGCTTGGCACTGGGTCTGTGCCTGCCTCTTCCCACTGACCTGGCCTGGGCACTGCCTCTAAATAAAGGAGCTCTTTCCAACACTGTGCTTTGCGTCCCATGTCTTGGGCTACGTGTGGATTTAATGGGGTGAAGGTACAGCCATTGTCCCCTCCTTAATAGGAATTCAGTCTTGGACTGTTGCTGTTACCTTTTAAAATACTTTCATCTGTTACACATATTTAACCCCCTCTCCGTCCCCTTTACAGATGAGTGTACAGAGACTCAGAAAGCTAAGCACACTTGCTCAAGATCACACAGTGGGCCGGTCAGGGCTGGGGTTTGAATTCAGGTTTTCCTGGTTTCAGGGTAAGCAGAACTTCAGAACTCCCCTGCAGAGGTATCTCCAGGCTCTCTTGGCCCCTAAAGTTATGTCTCTGCCCCAGTGCCACGGTGGAGACGCCCCTGGGACTCTCAACAGCCATTTCTGCGCTTTGGGCCCTTCTCACTCAGACCCTCCTGGAAAGTCCCACCCATGCCCACCTCCCACCCTTCTCCCATTCCTGGGCCCAAAAGTCTTCCCTGACTAATAACATCTCCCACCGAGGGGGCACTTGCTGGAAACCGGGCATGTGGCTGAGTCTGACATTTAATCCTTCCTAGGGACTGCCCTAGGAAGCTGAGAGGCAACAGAGAGGAACGGTTGCAAGTTCAGCCTGTGGAGCCCAATTGCTCTGCATGAACTGGAGCAAGTGATTTAACAGCTCTGGGCCTCATCTAAAGTGGGATGTGGGGAAGGTTCAGAACAGGGGTATGGGCTCCATGTGCTTCATGTCAGGGCACCCATCCACCCTTCCAGCGGTGCAGCCCACAGCCGAGCCCTTGCACATCTATTCCTCCCCCAGGCCTAACCACCCTGAAGGGTCTTCGGCTGCAGCTGGAAGGGCTCTGAAGCACCCTGGGATCCACAGGTAGTTCCAGCGTCTCCTTGGCCTCACAGAGGGCTCACCTGCCTACACATCACTCCACCATCGACAATACCAAATAGTCTACCTCCTCACCCCTCCCTCTCCACATTTCCATCAAAGTCTCCCCTCCTCTCAGGCAGCTTCCCCTCAAGCCACCTCTCTACCAATTTGGATCTACCTCTTGTTACCCAGCCTGCCTTGCTGTTTTTGCTCCAAGCCTTTTTTCATGCAGTTTCTCCTTCCTGGATCACCCTCGTCTGGCTTATCCAACCAGCACTTAAGTACTGGCAGGGATAATGCCCATTCTCTTTGGGGCTGAGGAGGAAATGCCCCTGTCTCCTGCTGGCTTTCCACTCAGTGAAGGAAATTTCTTTAGTGGACGTTTTCTTTTTCAAAAGTAGTAAGTATCTGTAAGGAATAAAAGGACTATACAGAAGTTTATATAGTGAGAATCGCTTCCCCCTGGTCCCACTCCCAAGAAATAACTATGGTTCATGGTATGTGTGAGATCTGTTCATGTGAATTTACAACATCTATCTTTTTTAAAATACAAAGTGGGGGTCAGCCAAGTGGCTCAGTTGGTTAAGAGCGCGAACTCTGAGCAACAGGGTCGCCAGTTCGATTCCCACATGGGCCAGTGAGCAGCGCCCCAGCTGAGCTGCCGCTGAGCTGCCAATCGGCAGCAGGATGGCTCAGCTGGTGGGAGCGTGTGCTCCTGGCAACAAAGTTGCCAGTTTGACTCCGCATGGGATGGTGGCTATGCCCACCCACAACTAAGACTGAACATGGCACCTTGAGCTGAGCGGCTGCGAGCTTCCACCGGGCAGCTGGATGGCGACTTGACTTGGAGCTGAGTTAGCTGCGCCCTCCACAACTAAGATTGAAGAACGACAACTTGTCTGTTCCCCTTCCCCAATTCCCCATTAAAATCTTTTAAAAAAAACACAAAGTGGGGTTGTATTATTCTTTGCCCCTTTCATTGTCAACCATATTTGCCCTATGACTTGTCCACATGGTGATAACTTATTTGCCTGCATCCCATCAATGTCCAGCCAGTTCCACATTGGTTATTATGAACAGCACTGTGATTACAGGCTAGTCCACAGATTTTGGCACACCTGTGGGAGAGTTTGGGAGGACAGATTCCCAGAACTGGAATTGCATGGCCTCAGAGCGCCCGAATCATGGACCCATCCTGTCTGGCAAACTCGGCCTCCACCTTTCCCGATGCCCACTTGTACGTCAGCCCTCCTCACCCCCATAGGTTTTGGGCCTGGCATAGAAGAGGCCCTCAGGGAAGGTTTGATGAATGAATGAATGAACAAATGAGGTTTCCCTCTCTTCCCCTATCACCTGATGTCTCTCTCCGGCTCAGATCTCACCCCTCACATGTGGATCATGGTTGCTGCCTCCCTACTGGCAGCCTCCAGGCCTGCCTACCCTGGCTGCCCATGCAATTGACCTATATTAGGAGCTGTTTCCTAGGCCCTGCCAGGGGCTCCCCAAGGGATCTGAGGGTGGGCATCAAGTCACTTTGCTAAGGGTGCCTCTCCCTGGTGGGGGGCATGGGGCTGGAGCAACATCTCTGCGACTCTGGACATATATCAGTGCCAGAGAGAGCACAAGTCATGTCCTGTCTCTGGGCCTCAGTTTCTCCTTGTTTATTCCTTAATTTAACCAATATTTATTGAACACCTGCTTTGTACCAGGCCTATAACCAAGGGCCAATAATAATGACCACGAGCAGGGCAGTATAAGGATCAAAGGAGACATACTAACTGAACCCAGTGTGACTTGTGGAGTGCAGTAAGTGTCCAACAAATGGTAGCAGTGGTCATTAATAATGTTGATGGGATTGGGGAAGAATTCCTAGTGGAGTTGGCATTAGGGCTCGACCTTCATGGATGGGTAGAGCTTCACAGTAGAGATGAAGAGGAGGGCATTCCAGATGAAAGGCACAGAATGAGCTAAGGTTCAAAGGCGGAGAAACTCCTATGAACAAAGAGGCCTGGAGGCCAAGATCAGAAGTTGGACTGCATCCTGGTTGGAAAGGGCAGGAATAATGCCCATTCCCTCTGGGGCTGAAGGAAGAAATGCCCCCCCTACCTTCTGCTGGCTCCAGCCTGGGTGGGGTGTCCCTGGGGAGGCACAATGGACGGAGGTCTTGCTTCGTGTCCTTCCACCAGCCTGGCCCCCTTATAAACTGGTACCCTCTCTCAGGGGCACCAGCAAGCTGGGGTCTCCTGTGGATTCCACTCACCCTTTTACTCCTCTTGCTCAGGGAGCCTGCCTGCCAGAGGATACAGGACTACCCCAGCTGTCCAGGTAGGGGCCTATGGTGCCCTCCCCACCACCCCACCCTCATATGCTCCCTGGGTGTCCTTTACCCACCCAGGCTCAATAGCCTCAAGGAGCAGGGTAGGAGTTTGATAATCGGGGCTCTGCACGTAAATAGATGCAAATAGATGCAAACAGTACAAAGCCTTGAAAGCTCTGGAGGCAAGGGTCCTGACAGCTACAATCTGGGAGATAGAAAAAGAACTGCAGAGGGCTCTAGGACAGACATGCCCACTCCCCCTATTACCATTCTATGCACACCTGGCCCTGCGTTTCCCTGAAAAACCCAGGGAACTGGATGCCAGCAAATTTGTCCTCCTCCCCAGGAAGTCCTGGGGAGATGGGAGCTCCAGGTCCTCAAGGTGAGAGATACCAGGGGGCAAGCAGGGACCTGGGGTAAGCTGCGGAGCCTGGGGTGCGGCAATAACAGTCTGTGCTGAGAGGCCCATGACAAAGGGACAGGGAACCTACTTTGTGTCAGGCTTCAGGCTGGGTGCCCAGCATCCTAAATTGACTCTGTGAAGTAGATGGAGAATTTTCCCCAATTTTACTGAGGGACAAAGTGAAGCTCTGAGAGGATAAGTCATTTGTCCACAATCACAGCCAATTAAGGGTGCACCTGGGATTTGACTTCTGGCTCCGAATCCCTTTTGTTTTTTGGCCCTGAGCATGAGGTGAGACTTGTGGTGTCACTGACTCTGGGATTTCAGGACAACTTGGACCACCGGGCAAGATGGGCCCCAAGGGTGAGAGCCTGGTGAGTGTGTGGGACCGGGGCCTCTTTTTTTTGCTCTGTCCCTGGCCTAGAGAGGGGGAGGGCTCTGCTCAGCTGCTGTTCAGCCATTGGCTGTGACTGCCCTCCAAAAGTGGGATGGAAGGCTGGGAGGCGTGGGGAGGATTAGAAGGTCTTGGGCACCCTCCCTTCTGGTGGTTTTCGGACATCCCCTTGAAAGTACTCAGACCTCAGAGCCAACACTCAGTCTTTCGATGGGGCAGGCGATCCAGTAAACCTGCTCTGGTGCCAGGAGGGTGAAGCAACCTTCTCAGGAGCCAGGAACTTGGAACCAGGCAGTGCTGGGGTGTTGGTGGACCATCAGGCATGGCCCAGACCTCCCTAGAACCCCTTTCACGGGTCTGAAGGAGCCAAGAGGGCTCCTGGGGTCCCACACTTAGCCTCTCCCATTGCCTATAGGGTGGGGGTTGGGGCAGAACTTGGGAAACTCTTCAGTCCATTTCCCCTTCCTCAGGCCACAGGAGCTGCCAGGAGTTGCTGAGCCAGGGCACCACCTTGAGCGGCCAGAACCATCAGTGCCTACCTGCAGGCAGAGTCCTTCCAGTCTTTTGTGATATGGACACCCCAGGGGGTGGTGGGCTGGTGAGTGTCACAGAGAAGGAACTCAGGCCAGGCCCAATGCGCACTTCTGCCCCTTGGCCCCTAGGGGGAGCCAGAGCCCACTGAAGCCAAGGCTAATTTCCTTAGAGTAACTCACTTGACAAATGTTTACTGAGCTCCCAGGGGGTCTGGCTGAAGAGGTCTGAGAAGGCTTCACAGATGAGGTGCCATTTGAAAGGGTTTTTAAGGCTGTGTAGAAGTTTTCTAGACAGATGCGACTCAGAAGGACAAGGAAAGACAAATGCAGGAAGGCAGGACAGCACAAGAGAGTTTGGGGGGACCATGTGAGTGACTGAGAGCAGGTATAAGTGTTTGGCTGAGGTCTACTGGTGTGAGTCAAGCATGGATTTAAGGCCTCCTCAAAGGCCAGTTCATGGATGGCATTGAATAACTGACTGAGGAGCATGGAGGGCAATTGAGGAGCCATGGAAGAATTTTAAGCAGAGAGTAACCAGGTCAGGCTTATACTTTAGAAAGATGATAACATGGAAGATGCACTGCAGTGGAGGACAAGAGCGGAAACAGGGATGTGGGTTAGGAGGACTGCAGAGGTCTGGGCAGGAGCGGACAGTGG